TCTCTATCTATCTATCTATCTATATATATATATATCTATATATATATATATCTATATATATATAGATATATATCTATATATATATATAGATATATATATATAGATATATATATATATATATATATATCTATATATATATAGATATATAATCAACCTGTGCTCAAATACCTTCTTATGTTACAGAATTAAAATAATTTTGCAATTAAAAATGATTCTATAAACAGTAATAAAAGTTGTTTGAATATTTGATGACAAAAAAACAAAAGCAATTTGTAAAGAGAGAAACGGGTAAATGACTAAACTGTGTGACAGATGGACGCTTGAAGGAGTTTTTAAAGGTAAATTTGAATGATTCCCTCCTTTTTTTAAAATGATATCTGGAAGTTTAAAGAAGCAAAGAGGTTGTGGTTACTACCAGAGTTATTCCCTAAAAGAGGAAGTTTCCTAAATGTTTTTTTTTCTGTTTAGTTCAATCAGCTATCACACAGAGAAGATGAATGCCTCTTTTGTACTTCCTCCCCTTTCTCCTTGTTTTCCTCCCACCTTCGTCACACTCCCACTATCTGCTATCAGTTTTCTTCTCCTTCCCCAGTCCTCCCACTGCCGCTTTCCCCTCTCCTTGTCCTCAAGTTCACCCCTTTGTGGCCGAGGTTTGACCTGCTAATCCTCTCGCATAAACAAGTACAAACAGGCGTGCTGCGTGCGCACTCAGGAACAGGTACATGTGAGGCTAAACAAAAAAAAAAAAAGAAAAAAAATCAGTGTTAATTAGATACAGGAAGCTTAACAGGCTGTTCTGGCTTCGTTATCATCAATTTGGTGGATGCAGCTTCCCAAAAAGGATTTAATTTGAAATTGTTGATTTAATATTCATGGATATTGAGATCAAACTGACCTTTTATTTTAACAGTGTGTGTTTTGTTTTTTTCCGAAATGACTACCGAGGCCTTAAAGTGATGGTTGAGCTTCTCAAATTATTATATAGTTGGTAACATTTTCAAACATAACTTGCTAATCTGCTTAACCAGATTTTTATCTGAAAAAACAGACCTTGGATGACAACTTCCAACAGTTATCGATCAACTACAATTCCCAATTTTGTTTCTGTTGCTAAAACTGTCACTTTTTGTTCATCATCAACTATTGCAAAAGATTGGAAACATTTCCTTTCAGTTCATTACATAACTTTCATGGTAGTCCCGTCAAATTTTAGAAACGAGGAACTTTGATGTTTATCATTTATTTAACACAACAAGTAATTGATTTACCTTGCTAAAAACTCAACTAAAGTGAACAGATAAATATAGGAATGACTGCATAGTGTTTAGAACAGAGTTCAAGGCCCAGTTAGTCCCATATTGCTCCCAGTGGGCGCTGTAAGCCGTCCATTGATCACTAAGGGTGACGGGTTAATACAGAGAAAATAATTTTGTGGAATGTAAAAAAAAAAAAAAAAAAAAAAGAAAATAAAGGTGATAATTTATTATTTATAAATTTAATCCGTAAACCAAACAATGAGAACAATTACTGCTCAGGAAGCTGGAATCGCGTCACACCAGCTGCAGCATTTTTTTTAATCCGATTCCAACTCAGTTTGTATAGTCCCTCTAAGTTCTTAGGAAGATTAGTACCAAGTAACTCACACAGTTAACTCATGATAGGAACCTCATTTAAAGTGGTATAAAAAAAATATACCACATAGTTACAACTTTCATGTTCCATGAA